ACGACGTTGCAATTCTCTTTTAAAATAATAATAAAGCGGTAAAAAGTTAAAATTTGCACATAGGTTCAACATGTATTAAAATCAGATAAATAAGCCGAATATGACAGTTGAGCGATCGTGCTAGAACCACGGAACTTGGGAATGCCCAACACCTTCTCCCGGGTTAACAGAATTCCTTACTCGGATTTCTGGTTCGCGGACTGTAATACAGAGTCGATCTTTTCCTCGATTCGGGATTTAACCGGTGACTTGGGACACCATAAATATCTCAAGTAGCGACTCTGAATCTTTAAATAAAATCCCATTTCGATTTGTCCTTTAATTGGAAAAACTCCTTTACGCCCATGCGGGCGTAGGCAAAAAGGAGGTGTGACAGATCGTAGCTGCGATTTCTGTAGGTGGCACGTCTTCGACATCTCTTTGAGTGGGTTTCTCGAGCATGTTGCTCCAAGCACTCGTTAACCATTATTCTAGTAACCTTTTGAGTGTTGGTGGTGCTTCCCCTGCTGTGGATGTCGAGACTCCCCTTTCGCGCAAGATCGTTAGATCCCCGTGTGGAAGAGGTGAGATCTTCCCCTCCGGTGTAGCGCTTGGTGTTGTATTCTCATTGTCTTCTCTGCCGTCTTCGTTGAGGGAGTTCAGGAGATTATTCGAGACATCTGCTACCGCCTTTAGCTTCACTTCCTTTCCCGCCATTGTTGATTTTTATGAGGTTTGAAGAAAAGTAATTATCACTTCAGAAATCTAGATGAGAACTATGATTTCAGCTATAGAAATCCCCATAGACGGCGCCAAATTGTTTGACTCAAAAGATGTTAAAACCTTTTTGAACAAATCAATCAAAGATGAAGGGGTAAATCGTAGCTGAAGATAATAATCTCTAGAATAATAATAGATAAAGAGAAGAGAGTTTTTCTTTTCATCCAAGATTAGTAAGCTTCTCAGAGTATCCACCGCCACTTACAAGGTTTTTTGTCCCCTTTATATACTAGAGAGAAACCCTTCCGAATTGTAAGAAACAAAATACAATTAGTATTCGGCGGAATATTCTTAATGTCCCCTAATGGGCTTACACTACTACAAGAGTCATACAGTCTCTTCTTTCGCCCTAGGGTCGTTTCCCTTGGGACGCCGATTCGAAGGTACCCGGTCGTTTGTTGTACTCGTCATAGGTCGTGGTCGATCAAATTTGGACCCATACACATATAGTGCGAATAAAAAACTGTAAAACTAGAATAAGATTTTAATAAAAATAACATAAGCCAACAGAAAACTCATATATAAACTGATTCCATCTACCAACATGCAAGGTAGGGTCCAAACACTCGGCCAGTTACTACACCATCAGATTATTATCCAACTGGGAAGCTAAAATCACATAGCATAGCACTGCATTTTATTTTCCTTTATTCATGATAATTTGTTCATGTACGTGCACTCATTAGACATCAGTTGGAAGTTCCAATTTGGAATCAAAGGGTTGCTCCTCAAGATCGCCAAAGGGACGTTGTCCTATAAAATTACCTGGTGGATCATAATTGCAAGTTATGAAAAACCAACCATTGTTGCTTCGAACCCTAGCACAACCGAGACGTACTGAGTTACGCCACACCACCTGAGTATAGTGTCCACATACTCCTCCTACACAAGAATTTGAATTGTAATCATAGAAACGCTTCTCATCGACCCACATTTTTACAGCACCAGCAGCGTTAAGTTGAGGGAAGGCGGCGGCTAGGTTTTCGCCGTAAGGGCCATGAGAGTGGATCATCCCGCAGTCACCAATTCTTTGATTGGCATAATTTTGGGCATAGGCTGCTAGCCTATTGTCCCATGTCATGGGGCCAACACCAACTTGTCTACGAGCTGCATTGTGAGGGTTAAGATAATCTTGGGGGGAGTTTTGAGCTTTGGATGAGTGAATTAATATTGCAAAGGTAATGAAACAAGCAACTATTGTTGTTAAGAATCCCATTTTTGTGTTTTGGTGAGAAACAAAGCATAGTAAGGATGATTTTTATAGGGAAGAATATAGCTGAGTTACAAAGTTTGCAACTTGTTAGCAAACTCTTTAGCCATATTTGAAAAGAATAGTATAAAATTATAGCTCCGTTAATTCAAAGAACGTTAGATCATATTCGTTAAAGAAACAAAAGCCGCCATTAAAAAATTCTATCTATTGATGAACAACTATTATAGCCATGATCATAATTTGACCAACTTTGATAAATCATGAAGTTATATTATATACATACATATAGTTTTATACATTATTACCAGTGTATTTTAACATAAATATAGTACGCGAAAAGAGTTGAATTTGTTTAAGTAGACGGGAAGTTGAGTAATCGAACCTGTTCAATTGGAGGGATGCTGTCTAACTTCTATCAAATTCTATAAAACCGAATCAGAATATGCTTTAATTAGAAAGTGAAAGCATCCTTATAACTGATATTATCGTCTATATTTTAAAGGAAAGCAGTCCCGTTAGGTGTCAATTACTACAAGATCATATCTCAACGTTATCTGCTACCGTTGATTTCCACTCTTATTTCTGGAAGAAGATGAAAGGCTGGTAAGTAAAAATCTATACTCAAGGTATATTTTCGACTTAGATCTATAGTTGATTAGATGATAAAATCGCTATTCTAATTTTTGAAATTATTCTACGAAGTACGAATTACTTTTAACATAGTTAACACGTACCAAAGATTCCACCAATTTGACGTTGTAAAGTTTTATTATTATTTAAACTGCAAACTTATAGTTAAGCGCAGCCTCCATAAAATAATTTCTCAAGTGGCAACTAGTTTTTCCACAAATAGGAAAGCCGCCATTAAATAATACACTTGAGTGTACCATTTAGGATCTACAGTGTCCAATCCTTCGAAGTTGTAGTTCCTAGTTGAACTAACTACTAGTAATAATTTCTATTCTTTGTGTCACATATGGAGGTGAACGTCCTGCTTGGCCAAACATTTAAATTTTGTTAATTTCGAAAAGTGTTTTTCAAAAAAAAAATTATTTTTGGAAAGAAGTATTTGACTAATTAATTTAAAAAATATTTTTTTCATTATATTAGATAAGCAAATTGTACTTGAACGACGTTCCGGAAGTGCTTCTGGAGAAAAATTATATTTTTCGGTGTCTGAAAAACAACTTCTGCTACTATCGATCAATAGCATTTTTTCCCTGAGAGCTTGATCAAATATATCAATACTATAACATAAGTTCTCTTTTAAAAGTAAGTACTTCTGACCAAACAGGCTATAGGTCAACTTTCAGACGCCACCATCAGATCACATCATGTTCATATATAGTTGATCCCGAGTTCTTCGCCAAATGGGGTCTATTTTAGCCCCATTTCAATTTTATGGAATGGAAAAGAAAGAAAGAAAGAAAGAAAGAAAAAGTCTTCTAATTTTGTCTAATTAAGCCCAGGCAACTTCAGTAAAAGGCCTAAAACTAGCATGAGACAATTTTTATATTAACGGTGAAAGAACTGAAGTTGCACCCCAACTTCAATCTTCTCGAAAGGTTATTTACCAATTTACCGTTGTAAAAGGTCATTTACCAATTTTAATAGTTCATGGGATAACACTAGGAATACTAGAACTTGGGATGGTTTTGAATCTTGTCTTCCCCAACAACTGTAAAAGTGGCAGTAGGCTTATTATTACTTTACGAAATAATAATATTGGTAGATACATTGGAGGTGAAAAATCATTTCATAAATTGTAACCTTTAGATCCAGAAATAGCTGATCACTATTCTCCAAGATGATGTGATGGTATGCCTTTAGCCTTTTGAAATGACAGCAGATATGTTGCGTGCCTGAGAAAGAATAGAACTTGAATGGAATGGGATACGCAAGAAAATAGGTCAAGATGATCAAGATAAATTCTCAAAGATTTTGATCTATTTTGGACTCTTTAATTTCCTGAGGATACACAAATAAATTCTTCTGAATTGATCAACATGTGGGTTGCTGAGAAATTTATAGGAACTGAAAGGAGAATGGATGCAACAGATTTTGGTGTAGACTACCTAAACAACTTGGTGGCTCGGAATCTAATCCAGGTTGCTAGTAGAGGATTTGATGGAAGGATCAAAAGTTTTCTATTTCATGATCTGAAGAGAGCAACTTTTTCAGAAGGTAGACAACAGAGATTTTTGGTGCTACTAGTACCAGAATACGTAGACTTGTTCTCCATCCTCAACATGTCACCGAGTATGTCACTTCAAACTCTGAAGCTCCCTGATTCGTGCTTTGCAATGTTTCACTCCTATGTTGTTGAGTTGTGTCCCACATCGGTAGAGAATGGGTGTCTTGGTCTCTTTATATGGTCTTGGGAAATACTTACCTCATAAGCTAGCTTTTGGGGTTGAGTTAGGCCCAAGGTCCATTCTTATCATGGTATCAGAGCCAGGTTCATCCCAATTTATTGTTACCGATGTTGGGCCTCCATTTATATTGTCCACGCTCCAGTTGCAGGCCTGGGCGTCTTGGTATCCTTATATGGTCTTGGGCAATCCCCACCGGCCCAACGTCCATTCTTATCGTATGTTTCACCAGTGGTTACTAGGGAATCAACCAGCAACATGAACCACTTAAGTTACATTAAACTAAAAGGAACTTCTCCTCCTTGGATATACTACTAACTTCACATCCTCATTTTCTCTCACACGCAGATTTAAGCACAAAAATCTGTCCCTTCCAGATTAAGGTGTATTCAGTAAATCTCCAGACACTGTACAATGTACGATCCAAGAATTTGAAACCAAGCTGTTTCTCTAAATTCATCACTTTAAGGAGATTGAAGATAAGATATATCTCAGAAGAGGTATTGAGGGCATTGATGGATGCAGAAATTTTGATGACAGAATGTATACAAGCGTGACAGGGGCGATCAGCAGTACATATTATGCACAGACATTGAACCTTGCTGACTATCATCATCTCACCAAGCTGAATATTGAGCACATACCACTGAAAAAACTACCCAACGTGGAAGCATTTCCTCCAAATATCATCAAACTTACTATTTCTGCATTTACAATGGTAGAAAATCCAATGAAAACTACTCAAATTGAATAGACTACTCAAATTGAAGATCTTGAAACTCAGAAACTTTTACTGCTAAAGTGTAAAAGGCTGGATTGCTCTGGAGTATATAGTTTTCCTCAACTTAAAGTGCTCGAAATTGAAAATTGTAGTAGTCTAAAAGAATTGATAGTGGATGATATGGGAATGCCAAAGATCAAGAAGATTGTAGTTCTTAATTGTCCTTTACTAAAGAAAGTCTCAGGGTGATTTCAGTGCAAATTTTTGGAGAAGACATCTGATGCAAAAAGAAGGAGAAAATAACCAGTGCTGATATTGTTGTTTGACAGGTTGACACTCCATGACATAGTTCATTTATTTGTTAAGACATCCTCAATGTCCACAGACTTGCTTCAACAAGTTTTCCCTGCTAGACTCACTGCATTTCATAGGCACAAACGAATCATGATACCCCTTTTCTTCATTCCAATTCTCTCTTTTTTCCCTTACATCTGTATTCACTTTCAAAACAATAATGGAGATTTGGTTGCCAAATGGAAAGTATTGTAATTGTTCTAATAATATATCACAGAATTCAATTTCTCAATCTTAATGCAATTCAGTTTGGAAGAAGTGAATTAGCAACTTTCAGTTTTTAGTCACCAGAATAACTCAAATCAAATCTTCTTACAGCAATCTTTCTTTTACTTTATCATGTGACATATAGGAAAGGGGAATGATGAATTATTGATTTTTTTCACTTTGAAACCGAACCATGAACAACTTTTTGCACTTTGAAATTTTCAGTTCTCTATAATAATTCGAGTAAGGAAATGTAACAGAAACCCCCATAAAAACCCCTGGGGCATAGTGCAATTTATATGCATATGGTTTGATGAACAAATACTATTAAGGTTACACCTGAATTGAACGTAGTAATATTAATTAATACTATCATATAAATGTAAATTCAAAGAGATAATGTATAAATTTTAGCTATAGTACATTGGAACAGAATATCAAATTATTCATATTGCAGCATAAGCTATTTTCAGGTTGCGACCTTTTATATTACCCAGAATTAGACTCTCATCGTGATGACAATAGAATGACGTATTATCGTCAATCTCAGTTTGTTGCATGATGTTGTAGCATATGTATATCCGTATATATACATAGGTATCAACAGAGGTGGATCCAGGATTTAGATTTTGTGGGTTCAACTTTTAAGGTTTTTAGCATTGAACCCATTGTATTTTTAAAGTTATAGGTTCAGACCTACCATTTGTTGAAATTTTAATGAATTTTTACATATAAATTTATACTCCGGGAGAAAAATACTGGATTCAGATAAACCTTGCTCATACTCTACATCTGCCCCTAGGTATCAATCCATCCTAAGAATGTACACACACATATATATGTATATATATAAAGAGAGAGAGAGATCGTCATTATATCCAAAATTAGTCTTTATATTCCTATTTGCTTTTCACAAAACTGATCGACGATGGCAGGGCTAGCTACGACTACGACAACCTCCCCTATTACATGTTGAAAATTGGAACGTAACATATATACTTGCATGGGATGAAATTAATATATTAAAACCATTTTAATTATATTAATCAATAAGGACGTTCTCCAATGTAATTTCCAGGGGGATAATAATTGCATGACACAAACCATGCTTCACCATTCTGGCATTTCAATCTAGCACATCCAACTTGAAGTGTGTTACGCCATACTACTTGAGTATAATGCCCACACATCCCACTTTTGCAAGAATTTGTTGCATATTCATAGTTTGGTTTCTCTCCTACCCACAGGTTAACAGCGTCGACCGCCGAAAATTCGCCGTAGCCCATGGCAAGATTTTCACCATAGGGTCCATCAGAATGTACTAATTTGCATTCAGCTAATTTTGTGGTGGCATAGTCATGGGCATAGGAAGCAAGAGTGTCGTTCCATTTTAATGGTGGGAGAGGGACACCAACTTCTGCACGGGCTTTGTTGTGGACAATAACGATATCTTTGGGAGTGTTTTGGGCTAGTGAAGAATGGGCCATGGCTAAAACCACGAACACAATAAAAGTTGTTTTTAAGATATCCATTTCCTTTTTCTTTGCTTTTGAAGGCAAATTTGGTGGAAATGGAGAAGGTGATTGTGTTTGTGAGTTGGAGAAGTGAGATGGTTTGGTATTTATAGGCACTTCTTGACAAAAAGTAGAAAAAAATTGGGGAAGAAAACTTATGGTTAGCCCGTGAATATGGGCTTTTGAGAAATTAGCACCATTAAAAAAATGAGAGTATAGGATTGAAAATTGTATTTAACGTTCTGCGTGACTTGACAAAGATAGAGGTTCACATGCCTAATATACATATTTCATTTGCTAAGCAAAATCGAAACCTTTGTCAACTGAAAAAGACAGGCGAGGCGCCCATCGTTTTACCACCAAAAGAAAATGAGGAACATACATTATTTTTGGGGTTTACCATGTTGGTACACTACTATGAAAAAAAACAACTTATGCACCTATCTATGGTAAATATAACATGAAAAAACATGATAATAACTAACCTGCAGAAACTAGTTAAACTGCAATTCTATTATAATGTTTTGTATATTTTTGGTGCGTATATAGCCTAAAGCTTATTTTCTTCTATCGAGATTTTTTTAATTTGTAGTTTTGCACGAATTAGTTCAAACAAGAATGAGGATACACTTGATGGAATATACCAAGCCAAACATGATTAAGTGACAAATTGAGGTATGAAAGCATATTCATTAACTATGGTTATTTGGTAATAGTTTTCGTGAAACATATATCACACACTTATTAATTTTGTGCCAAGACCGAATGTAGATAAGCTACACTATAGTCTACACACTGAATGTGCTATTATGGGAGTAATTAGTCTATACAAAGGAATAAAAATGATTTTTTAATGGTAAGAACCAAAAATTAAGGAGATAATATATGCCAAAGTCACGCTGTAAACTTTGGAATTGATTAGCATATTACGCAAAGGACGAGAAAAATTAGTGCCTTCTGGACACAAAAGTCATCAGTTGCAACGTGCAAGGGTAAAGTAACCCCTAATTATTACCATGGAAAATTAGACTGCTTTGTCTTTCACGTCTACCTTGTTTGAGTTTTTCAAACAATTGAAGAAGAAAAATAACTAGTAGAAAGGGGATTACATGACTGGTAAAAGGTACACTCAACGACGCCATCAGCGGGTGATTTTCCACCATTGTTTCCTGAATTATCTCTGGAGTTACAAATCTGAGGCAGCTGATAATGCATCTTCAAAGTGTCTCCCAGACCCTTATCAATAAATTAGAAAACATTCTTGGAATGGGAAATAAAGAGGTATAGAATGCTTGAGCAACTTTAAACCAGTTGACCAATTGGTTCACAAGACAGTCAAAGAAATTAACATGCTTCCACTGTCTGAACAACTTTTTGTAACTTACTAGCAAAAATGTATCAGGGGCACAATTACCTTCGAGTTGTGAGAAGGGGCTGGTGGCTCTCTACTGTGTATTTTTAAAGAGTGGACGGATGGAAATTCACTGGAAGTATGCATACTGAAGTTCAGAATTTACGCACGAAAGTTGACCTTGCTAGTTGCTAACTAATTAGCATAGCGGAGAGATGAATACAGCCAAGTTCTAACAAAATTCCCTTCAGGGAAGAAAATTGTATCAAATTAACAGAAAAGAATTCTAGAAAAAGAATTAAATTATCATAACTTAGGTCCTGTCTTTGATAATGCTTAAATATGCTACAAACAAGTCATTCCAAGTATCTGTAAGTCCTGGTAAGCACCAATGCATGCAATCATCATGTTTCTTGCCACCTGCTGTAGATGGATGGGCATCCGCTCTAAACTCACTCATATGAGATATGTCCAGCTTATGAAATCTAGTGCCTTCAAAAGCCTTGTATAGGTGCTGATTCACAAGGCGAACCTCCACATTTGTTCCATTGTTTTTAAGGGAAAAGAGTTCCTCCACCTGCAGAATAAACAGAGGACAAAGGCAGAACTTTCAGTGCTACTGCATAGGGGAAGTGGAGAAAGTGTCCAGTTGCAGGCGGAAGCAATCATAACAGGAAGAGGGCAAACAGTACGTGTATTCCAACAATGCTGGAAAACTATGGACGGTTTTAATACTTGACAATATGGGCTTTGTTAAACAGAGAGAGTGTTACCTCTTGAGACGAGAGAGGCTCTGACCGCTGGCATGAGCCACCTTGGTCCCAGTCACCTCCTTCAAAATGCCTTGGGGATTGGGTTCGCATGAACACTGTCGTGCTCGGTCGCATTCGTTTTTCAACATAAGATATCTAGTAGAAACAACAAACAAAGAAGGTCAGAGAAGTAGCACATATAAACTTCTGAAGCATATACGAGCAACTGAAGTTTTAGCCTCTGAATGGGGCTGAAGAGAATTAAGTTCTACACATTAACATTTATATAAGGCATAAATCCTATGAAACCATGCATCCATACTCTAAGATATGCGCAAGCCCTATGAAACTATTAATGTGATGAAATACTATCAGAACAAAAGGTTAGCCCAAAGGGCCAAGGTAGAGCCTCAAGATTCTAGGCATCATGTTGCCGGGAGGCCAACCTAGAAAAAATGCTTTTCTAAACATTGGTCCACATCAGTATCAAGAACAATGTCTCACAAGGCATATCAAATCTATAAAGGATATTTGTCCATCCTTTATAAATAATAAACAAGGGAAGGATAGAGCAGTACCATATGTTTTAATACCATATCAAGCCCACTGTCGGGAGACACTGGAGGCACCACAGGATTACCCTTTTCAAAGAAAAGCATGGGTGACTTTACTGGGTCAAACTTTGAAGGAGCCCACCACCTAACAGAAAAATGGAAAGCGGGACAGAAGATCACTTATCAGTAAGAAGAAATTAATTGAAGGAAACAAATTACTTAACGATGCAATATTGAAGCTACTAGAATGTCAAGCTCAAAATTAAGCAGGGCCTCTGAATCCTGATGCCAGATAAAATCAATCTCCTTGGGCCATAGATACAACATCAACTTTAAGGAAAATAATGATACAATGCTGTATAAGAACTTACAGGTGCTGGGATACCTAGACTAAGAAATTACAGGCAACTGCGATACAACATAAACTTAAGAAGCTATAGGTTGTAATCAGCAAGTATCAAATTGTAGGTGCGGAATTTAGGTATCTCAGCACCTACAGTTTCTGAGATAAGCCTCATTCGGCCATAAAAATTATATACTATTTCAACTTCTAAGAGGTTTCAAGTTTAATCCCCGCTAAATATGTGCAACTGATATGGTGTTGTTCTTCAACTAAGTACTGATTCTGCTGATATGGACTAACTGACGATGTCATTTAATGGAAATCCAAAGATAATCAGATTAAAGGTTAATCACTTTTGATTTGGAAACGGAAAATGTATTATGGATCATCAGGAGGATTTCAACACAATCAAAGGATACAAAAACAGTAAAAAACAGCAAACACCAAAGTGATGCGACAACAGCAGAACCTGCCCCGTGAGAGCATTTAAAAAGTTCTGGGATTTAATTAGGTGACCATACCCCTCAGTGTGCTCCTTGCTTTCTTCCCTTCCACTCTATTCTTCACTCACTCTTTTTGCTACCCATAATAATCACCAAAGATCACTAGGCAGCACTGAACAATTTTTCTGGCTCTCATTTAATTAGGAGGTTGTGTCTCTTCATTACTGTCTTCTATAAGTAGCTCAAGTTTCATTATTAATTAATGGTGGACTGCATACATCTGTGCTTTCTATCATAGTTTACAAGGTTATCCTGATATTCTGATCACGATACCCTGTCAATCGGAATATCCACATGTGCATGCTGCAACAAAAAATTCACCATTGAGAAATTCCATCCAAAGGGATGTTTTACAATCTGATACTTGTTTACTTATTTGGTAGTTTTACAATTTGAAATGCAGGAAACAGAACTTTATTTATTTTGTTGAACTGGTATTCCCCCTGGCCTTTAGGAAATAATTACTATGTGCTTTGCCTTGCAATTGATAAAGCTTGAGGATCCACAGATAATAAAAGAAGAGAAAGGATAAACCAAATTTTGGCTCCTATTGCAAATTAGGCAGAAGCAGGCAGAGTGGCAGACCAAAACAACTAAAGCTAATCCCACCAACATAGATTAAGAACACGAATTGCTTAGAGCCAAAGATGCTACACACAATAAACATCAAGTATTGACCATGAATTCACCTTTCACAGAAATGAAAAAGTTGTCTCGACGTTCATACTGAAGGCTTCACTGAAGTGATTACACGGGAAAGTAACCTTACCAGTGACCCGTGTTAAAGATGAGAATGTCATGGAAACTTGGCGCCTCCGCCCATGTTCCTTCTGGTACATCAACATCAACTTTATAACCCTCCTTATATCCAAGAGATTCCAGCACCCCACCATTAGCATTGGCTGACCACCTACATCATATAAAAAACAGAGTGTAGGAAACCATGAAGAATGTAAAAGTAGTTTACAACCTACTTAAGTCCTTGGAAATTGAGATTTAGGAGCAAGATATTATCAGTCATAATGCACAACCACACTTAATAAACTTGGAGGAAAATTTTAAAATTACTTAGAACCTAGTCTTAAGCCATACCGGCATAAGACCACCACCGGCAATTTTCTTTTCTACATCATGTTTTGAATTAGCTAATAACATGCATAGTGCATAACTAACAAAACCATCCTTATTAATTCCTTTTTTTTCAACACAGTTAGTTATACATACTACAAGGTACGATTCCTCACTATAAATCTGTGATAAAATAGTGGACAACTTCACTGCCTATGAAGAAACAACGTCATAGGATGCACATGCGACGCAGAAATTGAAATAAGCAAGAAAATAACACTAACACAATTATTGAAGTATCCAATAAGAAAGTCCACACATAGCAAAATTCTAGATTATGATCCTAAGCTCTTATCTGCATGATAGAAAACCTACAAACTTTGCCTAATCAATCAATCTGTCAAAACAACATGATTAAAATTACATTAACAGAAATGAAAATAACTACTTTAATTAAATCTTACCTACCGTAACGAGCCAAAAGATTTGTCCGATGATACGAAATAGTAAGGTTATACTTCAGAAAGGTAAAACCACGATCAGCCCCGGCAGGGCGCCACTTTTTCACCTCGCCTGACACCCACTTCAAAGTGCAGAAAAGTGAAACAAACATGTTCCTGTTTAAGGAGTCCCCAACAAACCCTGCACTGTTTTACATCCATAAGTTCTAACTGTACCACCAGACCACAGTCAGAAACTAACACAAAACAAAAATAGGTTTCAAAAAACTTGTTGCCATCAAATATTATCCCTGTCATAACTGTCATCCCATTTGAATCAACTATAACAGAGAAGTTACAATGGGATCAACTAGAGGCGAATCTAGTATATAAGCCGCGGAGGCAGTAACTGTCTCAGACCGGACTATTTACTTACGTATATTATATTATGCACACACAAATTTAGTGACATTCTTTTTATTTTTTATTTTTTTGTATATATATATTAAGTTCACCACTATCTTTAAATCCTGGATCCGGCTCTGTGCTAAACAGAGAAACAAGAGGATCAACAATATTCATGATTTTAAATTATTCGCTAAAGCAAAGTGACACAAGCTTTTGTGATGCGGAATTTCTTACATTTCACAGCTCAGAGGAAAACAAAATTAGCAGTGGTGAGAAAGAGAAGTACCAATATTGGTGTTTTTGAAGTGGTGAAGGAATGAGAGAGGATCGAATTGAGGGAGATCACATTGATAGGGTTTCCAGCGCCACTTAACAATGTCAAGCGCATTGGATTTTTTACTGCCAATGCAACTCCATCCTTTGTAGATCTCCTTACAGCTGTCGTCGTAGCGCGGGGACTTGATGCTCTGATCGTAAATCCATCGGCCGTGAGTGAAGTTGCACGACTTGGAGTATAACAATTTGCTCTTCGATGGAGTGCTTCGAGATGAGGTGTTGAAGAGAGAGAAAGCGAGGAAGAGAGAAGTGAGGGAGAGTAGAGAGAGAAAGAGACAAGAGGGAGAGATTGATGAAGAAGAAGACTGTTTTAGTTTCTTCCATTGATTGGCCATGGCTTCCACGGTATCACTTCACTCTGCCCTTTTGCGCTTTCTATGTCGTAACGACATTTCGAGTTGCAAATATTTTCAGATCCGGCGCATACTTTTTGTCTCTCTTTTTTTTCTTTTTCTTTTCTATTATTCTAGGCGGTTCATAAAAATTTGGCAATTAATTTTATTTGGCGAAATGGCTTCCTGGCCACTCAAACTTGTAGGGCTTTTGAAAGCCAATATATAAACTTTTGTCTTTCTCATTTAAACACTCAAACTCCTGAAACCTATAACTAATAAACACAATTGACCGTCGACCCATCCCATGTGGCGTCAGTTGGTCCTAGTCAGCCCTCTGCGTGAATGTCACGACTTTTTAGAGCGTGAGAGACCCCCTTTCCAACGCCCAACGGTCAAAAATAGGGCCTATTTAAGTGAGGTCTTATTCTTTTAATTGGATACACATTATCCCTCTTTTATTTGCATTTGAAGCTTCATTTTGCCTATTTCTTAAAATCTGAAGCTTTCTTTAATTTTCTTTTTCTTTTTCCAGATTGTGATAATGAATCAAAGTCCTGTATTTTATCATTGTGGAGTTGAAGCTCATATTTGCATCACTTGGAAGCCAACAAATCCAGGAAGGAGGTTTTATGGGTGCTCAAACTATGGTCGAGCAAATTCTTGTAATTTTTTTAGGTGGTTTGACCCACCTCTTCCAGATCACTATAAACAGGTGATTTCAGGGCTGTTATCAAGAATTAAAGAGAGAGATCGACTACAGCGTAGGAAGAGGGTGAAGATCATTGTAACTTTAGTTGTTGTAGTAGCACTAATAATTGTAATTTTCTTCTTAGTGTGGTTAGCACTAACTTCATAACCCTATGTACAATGATAATGACAGTGATAATGACAGAATAAATGATATATTTTTTTGTGGAATGAAAAGCAATTTTAACATAAACAAGCACACATATATAAACAACCAAGTTCGATCAGCCTTCTTGGTTGACAAAATTAGCACTGAACTGCTGTCTAGTAGCAGAAATAGTTTAAACATTGTTCCAAAAGAAAAGTCATGGTTAAACAGACTTAAGTTAACTTACAAATTAAGTTCTGCAACTAACAGACTTAAGTTATCACAAAAACAAACATTCAGTCAGCTTCAAGGTTGAGATTGGTTGATGTTTTGCTGAGATTGGCTCAAGTTTGGACATGGAGACTGGCTTGGTTGAGATGAAGAATAGACTTGAGGTTGGCTAAGGCTTGCTTGAGTTTGTCTTCTCCTCAACTATTGTTGAAGTTGCTTTTGTGATATAGCATTTCTTCCTTGCCACCTTAGTCCAGGTGCATTGTATCCAAGATCGATATTGGTCTGCCCAGCATCCACTACTTTTGTAGGAGCAGAATGTACCCTATCTCTTGCTCCACACTGCATAGAAAGCCAAATTAGTACCCCAAACAACTAATATATAAATAAAAATTCAAATCCTTAATGATCTTACCATGTCTATCACTGTTCCTATATCACTAAACAATTTACCGAATCCAGTTGTTCTTGATCTTCCTCGTAGTCCACTACCTTTTGGCCTTCCTCTAACACTAGCTATAATATCCTCAGAAGTTCTTGATCTCATACTTCCAGTATCCTGGTGTAAGATAAAGTACTATCTTGTAATTTAAAAATTTTGGTCCTAATACAGATTAACTAAATTAACTAAAATGAACACTTACAGATGCACTTGCAACAGCTGATGGTTGAGTATTTCTGGCCCTGGCACTTCCAGAATCACTTGTAGGACCTGATTGTTGAGTTGTTGTTTGAGCAGCCTGTGATGGTTGAGTAGCACCAGCATTACTGGTTCCTGTTATTCCAGATCCTTGTCCTTTCTGAAATTTCCAAAATAAAAAATGAGATATAGAAACAAACAAACTACAAGACACAATCAGACACAAATTGAATACATTACCAGGATAGGACACCCCTTCTTGTTATGGCCTACTGTCTTACAATCAGACTTGTGCCTAGCAGACAAGATCCAACTGTTAAAGGTCTCACATATGTTGTTCTCCACTGAATCACATTTACTCCAATCTTTGAAGAATGCTCTACACCAACATTGTTTTAGGTATCTCAGCAAGTCCTCAATGATCTTACTATCACCTAATTCTGTCAGCTCATCTATCTTAGCCTTCAAATATGCTTCAAATGAAGACCTTGCACATGCCCAAAACTTCTTCCTTCTTTCCTCTCTTTTCCACTTTTGTTTCCAATTGCTCCATATGTGTCTTGCACACATTCTGTGCTCAACATTTGGTAACAACTCAGAAACAGATGCAACAAGTCCCTTAAGCAACAAAAAAAACAATTAGAATATCAGAAACATATATAAAGTATCCAAGTAATAAAAGGAAGAACATGGTTGTAGTATATACCTTCTGCATATCAAAAATGATGGTCAACCCCTCACCTTGGGATTCAGTGAGCTGCAGATCATGCATCAGGCACCTAAAAATCATGACCATGTGTGCTTTGTCTCCTTTTCCACCACTGCCCAGGCAACAGGATACATTTGGTTGTTACCATCTTTATCAATGCATGATAGTAGCTCACCCTTACACACACCCTTCAGAAATGCTCCATCAAAGCCAATAACATTTCTACACCCTTCCAACCAACCAACTTTGTAAGCATGTAGACAAATATAGATACCCACAAACACCTCCTTACCAGGTATTGTCTCCTTGGAGGTCTTCACAACAACAGTGCTGCCAGGATTTGTAGACCTCAACATGTCAGCATAATCATATATTCTAGCAAACTCCTTCTTGTAATCACCAAGATACTGACCCATGACCTGATGTTTAGCCCTAGCACATATGGATTTTCCCACATACACACCATACTTTATCCTAATCAATTCCCGCAACTTCCTAAGCTTAATGTCAGGTTGGTTGATAATGTTGTCCTTGAAATGTTTAGCTACCCATGTTGTATTAGCCATCTTGTTTCGGGTTGCTCTAAAACACTTATGAACAGGATAGTAGCTCTTGACAATGAAATTCCCTGTGTGTCCCTCCAAACTTCCCAAAATATGCCATCTACATCTTGTTGAGTTCACACATTTTGCCCTAACCCTATGTTGTTCATTAGGCCTCAACTTAATTTGAACTCTTCTTTGTACAGCATAATCTTGCAAAGCATATCTGAACTGTTTCACATTTTCAAACACCATTTCCAACTGGAAAGAAATTTTCTTACAAGCAGGATCAAAGTATACCCTACTGTTGTATCTTCTTGGTTGAGGATTATGCACCCCATCTTCTTCATCTACTTCATCATCTGTATCCTCACTACCTGGATCTGAACTGTCCAGATATTGCTCATCCCCTCCCAACTTTCCAGCATATTTGGATCCCCTATTTTTATACATGTCTTCAAAACCAGGGTCTATACCTATAGGTCCCCTAGGTATCTCATCAGTATTAACTTTAGAAGATCTTAATTTACTACTCTTTGCATTCACGTTAGCCTGTCTAGCAACAACAACTTCAGGTTCTAGGTCACTTGTCTCTCCAACAATATCCTCATCAGAACCATATAATGACTCATCTGTATCATCTTCAGAAATAGCCTCATAATCTTTATCACTCTCAGTACTTAGCTCATCACCTTCAACATCACCCTCAACATCACCCTCAGAATCAGTTGCTAAATGAAAGGTATAGAAGTCACCTTCATTTTCACTAGACTCTTCTGTTTCAGAAGAACTTTCAGCAGCCCTCTTTTTACCCTTCCCATGAGTGTTATCACCCCTATTTATATCATTGTTAGGTGAGTGTGTTGCCCTAGCATTAACATCACTTGTTTGCCCATGTGGCATTTCATTAAAGCTAAATGGCTGAACATTAGTGGGGTCCACATTTAAACCACCACTACTTAACATTTCATCTAGGTCCAAATCAATACATGGTGTATTAATTGTGTGACATATATACACATCAATAAAATCCCCATCTTTAAGGTCTTGACAGAAAACTAACACATCAGCATCATATTTCAGAAATTTAAATTCTCCTTTTTGGTTAATTTTACATGCATATTTATCTACTGTTAAGTACCCCATATCCTTATCCCAATCATGAAATTGAATTATATGTAATTCATCAATGTCAGCTTGAAGAACAACTGACCAAGTTTGACCATTTACATACCTCGTAATTGGGTCAGCCACTAACCACCCTAGATGATGAAACTGTAATTTCACATAGACAGCCATTGAAACCTATAAAAAAATGAGGACAAGTCAGATACACTTTAACCCTAAAAAGCAATAAACTTTAACAAAATGGGAGACAGGAATATTTTGATATTCAAAAAAGACCTACATTTTTTAACCCTAAATGCCATATCACTCATGAAAAAGACAAACCCCTAAAATAAAGTAAACATACGACTGTTTTCCCCAAAACCCTAATATAAAATCCCATAATTTGTGCATGCAGACAAAAGCCCTAATTTTTTAACCCCAAATGCCAGATCAGTCATGAAAAANTAACCCTAAATGCCATATCACTCATGAAAAAGACAAACCCCTAAAATAAAGTAAACATACGACTGTTTTCCCCAAAACCCTAATATAAAATCCCATAATTTGTGCATGCAGACAAAAGCCCTAATTTTTTAACCCCAAATGTCAGATCAGTCATGAAAAAGACCAAAAAAAAAAAACTAAAAGAGTGAATATTCGAGTTTTTCCCCAAATATAAAATCCCAAAAGGAGAAATGGCTTCCACTATATCAGATGAAAAATTATGCATGCAGACATACATGCAGAATCACATCAAACATTACCCACATTATTTCACAAGAAATTAGAAGACGAAGATGAAAACGACATCAAAAGAAACAAACTAACCTTCAGAGACTAACGTGACTGAAATCGAAAGCTCAGACGAATCTCGATCAGTTTTTCATTAAAAGAGGGGGGACCCGAATCGTTTGGTTTTGGAGTGATTAAGATTAGGCGAAATGGTTAATCAGTCATGGCTTAACCTACGTTTAAGAGGGGAGGGATGGTTAGAGAGAGGAAAAGAGACGAAAAGTGGGGGAGGGTTTGTCGGTGTACTGATTAAAAGAGGGGACCCCAATCAGTTGGGTTTAATTTCGCGCCATTGACGTGTACCTGTCTCATTGGTCATTTGCTGACTGGATGGACACGTTAGCGAATGTGTATACACGCGCCTAGGGTCAACGGTCAATTGTGTTTATTAGTTATAAGTTTTTGAGTGTTTAAGTGAGAAAGACAAAAATTTATATATCGGCTTTCAAAAGCCCTACAAGTTTGAGTGGCCAGGAAGCAATTTCGCCATTTTCTTTCTCTTGTCAATCAACCACTTGTTCTTTACGTCCAAATTATTTATTGTCACTATATAAATCCACATAGGTTCATGTTCGAGTATACACCATTTTTACATTGACCATATGAAAAACATAGATAGGTCAAGTATTTTAACTAAGAAGCGTCTAGCAACCTCATTTGTGAGTTCTTTCTTCTGTTTTCTCTTTTTGATAGTTCAATGTATGAAATATATACATATATAATACGTACACACGTACAATATTATTTTTTTGTTTTGATGTTTTTTTCTTTAGTTAATCATGTTGTGTCACGTTTTCGAAGTGTCTAAGATGTCAGGAAAAAATCGTGATAATTGACATGATCATTTCCCTGGAGGAGGTGTAAAAGACTTATGTCGATTTGTATCAATATAGTGCATATCCGCGTTGGGTTCCTCCCAAGTAAAAATCCAAAACTCGTAACAAATTATCCCAGCAGGAAAAGAGTGCGTCAGTGATAAAATGAGATTAGTAATATATATATATATATAAGGAAGTGAATAATAAGAAAATACTACATTGAGGTATAAACCAAGTTCTTGGGGTCATTTGCCGAACGGAAAAGAGTCATATATATCAGTAAACTATGCGAATTAGGAGAGATATGCCCGTCGTTAATATTTGGCACAGATATGCTCAATCCGTCCGATACTTTCTCATTCATACCCTTAGTTTAACGGAATTACTATTTTGTCTTTCTTAAATAAATAACCGGACCCAAGCAAAATTATTATTCTGTAATTGAAAATATGAAAATCATACTCAAAGAATTTTTTTAGTTTAACTCCTCAAATATTAATAATGTCACATAAGAAGTAACAGTTTGATATAAAATGAGACAGAGATTATTAATTTTTCTTTTCCGTGTTGCTGCTAGTTTGACAACTAATATTGACAATTCATGACAGCAAAAATGCTGTAATTAATGATTGATGAACGAGATAACAATGAGTTTTATGGCGCATGTTGGATCTAATATCAAAGATGATGGAGCAGAAAAAATAAATATAAAAATGGAAAAGAAGCACCACCATTTTAACAATTTATTAATTATTTCATAATAAATTTGTAATGCAGAAAATAATCCAATAAACTAATAATCAATGATATAATTATCATTTATCTAAACAAAAAAACGGATCCATCAGGTTAAGTTATAGTGAACATGGAGTTTTTTTTTTTGGTCGAAGAACATGGAGTTATTTGTATTTGTATTGGTGAAAAATACAAATAGATTGTGAGAAAAATAAAAATAGATGGTAAAATAATTGAATAAGACACAAACTACTTCGAATATTATATTATTAAAATAATAAATAAATATCAATTACTACTTTTAGTAGGATTACTTCCCGAAATGATGTATAACAAAAAAAAATCGATTATCAAATTACTCATATAAATAAATATGATTATCACACAATTTCTCAATCAAACAAAATAATATATCAAAAAATATCTTTGAAATAAGGTGGTCAGGTCCTAACAGATTGGGTCAGCAAATTTTGGTTGGAATTTAAGAAAGACAAAATAGTGGTTCTATTAAACTAAGGGCATAAATGAGCAAGCATTGGACGGATTGGGCATATATGTGCCAAACTAATAATAACGGATATATCTGTCCTAATTCACATAGTTCACTGGCATATATGGCCTGAATGAATAAGACTCAACCCCTAAACAGAAATTAACGACTACCTGGTAGACAAATTAACAGAGATAAGTAATTGTTTCACATAAACTGGATCGCATATTTTAATGCCGGTAAGAAACTCAGAATTCTAAACAAAATTAATTTCAGAAGAAATAAAGTACACAAAATGACAAAAGAATCATAAATTACTTTTTGATTTAGCTTATACAGTAATCTTTCTCAAACAATAATTCTGGCTTAGAAATGCTAAACCACAACTACGTTTGCAGCTACAAGAAGCAATACTAATTGACAGCAAGCTCCTAGCCTATTATACATATTCATGAATCCTATCTTACAGAAACAACTTCCTCCCAAAGAATTTGTCAACTTTTTCAAACTTGGAGCATGTCACTTAATACAGCTGAAGACGCTTCGCATCTTTTTAAGAGAGGTCTTATACTATCAACGAAGAAGTGGTTTGAGGTGGAAAACTTGGCATGCTGGCTTATAAGACCTCTTGGCTGCTGCTTGTTCAAATTTCTTAGTTGCAGCTTCATTCTCTTCTAAGCTGGTCTGAATAAAAAATCTAATCCACCAGGATGAGCTCCGCAATTTGGCCTATACCGAGAGAAAGATTAGCAAGTTAAGTTTTCAAGCTTTATAAAAGTAGGAGCAATTGGTACAAATCTATAACAGCCCTTTCAGTTCATACTCTCAACTCTAAATGACTAGTGAACAACATAACAACGCTATACTAACAATTACAAATAATATGCACAAGCTTAGTTGTTTCCACCCTCTTATCACCAACAACAACAACCCAGTATAATCCCATCAAGTGGGGTCTGGGGAGGGTACTGTTTCCGAATAACCCTCGGCTAGAGAAGGTGAAGGAAGCCCTGATAGCAAGACAAATAGTTAGAAAACTAAATCGGAGATAACAACAAAGAATATGGAAGGAGTACATATAACAAGTAATAGTAAGACAGTATATTTAGACAAATAAGTCCAAGGCAGCACACGAGAATATGACGAAGTCCTGCTAGCAAACTACGGACTTACCGAAGGTAAGTAGTAACAGAACAAGACACGCGGCTATAGCCACCCTCTTATCACCACACAAAAAAAAAATGCTGTTTCAACCCAGCTCATGCATATAATCTGTCTTTATCTCGATTCATGCATTCAGCTAATAGAAACTCCCAACCGTATTCACTATCAAGGAAACGTCAACGGAGCTCAAGTTTTTGAAAACCTTGTTAGATAGTTGTACAAGGCAAGATCCATGGCACAGAACAGAGGAACTAGGTCTGAACATAACATATGCACAGTGAAAGGGTTAGCTCTGGTCTAAAACAAAGATGACCTATTGTTGATGAATATTAAATCTACAACGACTAACCAAGTGTAATACCACTAGTGGGGTCTGGGATGGGGTCTGGGAAGGGTAGTGCATACGCAACCTTAGCCCTAACATGTGCAGGTAGAGAATATCAAATCTACATATGAATAAATATATAATTAAGCAAACATAATGAAAAGATCATTGACTTACCGGCCGACCAAATTTTGACAGCTCCGCCACTTTAACCCTTTGTTGACCAGGATAGCCTAAAAAATAATCCAATATTTTAGCTAAATGTCAAATGATTTCTATTATACGGTTATCCACGAAAATAACTGCTTGCTTACAGTAAATAGTATAGCACTGTAATCCTATCTCAGGTTTACATCACCAGTTCCTAAATGTACATAGCTGAACTATTTAAGAAAATTGAAATGGACAAACTTCTTAGTATTTACCAGATAAAATAACTAAACCGTCAGAAGCCACCCTTGCCAATTCTGGAAGAGTCTTGTTAAGGTATCTTGGAGACAAGTAATCCACTGCATCAGACACTATGACAAGAGAGAACGACTTTGAACGGTAGGGAAGAGGAAATTTAATATCGGCTACTCGCACAATCCCGTTATGAACAAGATGCTTGCAGTTGCTATCAGTTTCATCTAAATCATACGGTTCAATGCCCCAAGCTTCGGTATCCTCTTCTTTTAATAGTTTAGAGACCACTGAACAAGTGTCAGGGCCTACATGCAACACTTTCTGCATGTTATCCCCATATGCTTTCTTCAGTCCAGGTAATGCTCTGTGAAGCTCAGCCGTGCATGACATACCACCTAAAGAAGTTGTATGCAAAACAAAACAATATAAAGTTCAAGGCCAAACATCCAAGCCAATAACTGAAATTTTCCTTCGCCAGCAAGAACAAAAAAAATTAAGGAACAGCAAGACTAACAAATAGTATTTGGCTGAGCATTTCTCAACAGCCAGTAAGATTACCAATGACAAATTTCTTGTTGTTACACCGAGCACACATAATCTACATGAGAAATCAAGCCTTTCTTACAAATACCATGTTATGGATCTATTTGCAATTAAAGACTTCAAGCATTCACAAGAATACATTTTTTTTTTGGACAAACGAATACTCTAATTACAGTCTTTTACATCACCTCCCTTAGATATATAAACAGAATGTTCTAGTAACTGGGGCATAATTTGTCATAAAATGCAAAATTTTGATTCAGCTGTCATAGATTAAAAGAATAACCACCTTCAAGTTTACTAAAAGCATCTGCTGGACTTCTTCCACCTACCAGAGACAACAAAAAGTATTTGTAATTAAAAGAATAACCGTGTGCAATAATCTTAGTAAAAGATGATAGAGGAGATCATTTTCATCCATAATTATATGATCAGAAGATTATATGATAGAATAAACAACTGCTTAGTCAGTATACGATCATTATAAAGAAATATATGGCTACGAACCTGAACCATGATATACATAACCAATGATCAGCAATGCACCCTGAAATTTACACAAGTGATCAAATTAATGGCTATTGTAGGATTGGGTAATAAGATCCAAAAATTAAGAAAACAAAGACTGGCACAACATCAAATAGCAACATTTTATAAACATTTAGAAGAGTAGCACTGAAAAGGAAAAGGAGATTGCCTAAGCAATAACAAAAATGAGCTCTCCTTTATGGTAAAGAGGTCCATGAATGGAATGATAAATAGCATGCTGATTCAACGAGTGTGGAAACGGAGATATATATGTGGAATAACTTATATCTAAGTAAAATAGATGTATTTCCAACTTATCGTCAGGTAAGGTAGCATCTAGTTTGAAATGACATTAAGCATAGGAGATTTTGAACACTATGCCAATTAAATCAAATGTCTTTGAAGGGATTTTGTTAGTTCCTAATGAGATTGCTTTACACGAAGCCATGAAAGACAAGCACTCAGTTTTAGGGGCTTCTCTGACCTTACTCTTTCATGTCTGCTTTAGCTTCTCCAGTTAATTGATTGGATACTTATAAGGAAGAGCTAGCAAGACAATAAGAATTTAACATATATGAGTAGTTCCACAGTAATTGCATTGCTCCATAATAAGTCCCATCAGTTATCTAAAAAAAACTACAATAAGCCCCGTCTCCTACCAAATTTGAGGGTGTGACAGTTTTTCATGATTTTGCTTATTTAAAAATTGAATCCAGTTCCAACTGCACTACTATAGGTAAACATTTCATTGACAGTATAGTTTAAAAAATGCTTTCAAGGAAGTAAATTCTTTAAAGAAAACTGTAAAAGATGCAGATTCTTTGTTTTTACTTTGCTTTTATCATGAAATTAATTTCCTTATGATTTTCTTCATAGCCAAACCCTTCAATGAAACAGAGGCAAACTTTATTAGCAATAAGCACACTATTAAAGGGCAATAATAACAAAAGAGATCGGCATTTACCACAACAAGTCCTAAGGACAATAAAGGAGATGGACGTGATTTGGGGTGAAAGGAGCCAACAAATGGAATGCCCCCAGTATCTGCAAGACGGCGAGCTGTAGTTGGCCTTCTTGACATTGGGACGAGTAGTAATAACTGAAGCATATCCAACATTAATACTAGTTAATAATAAGGTTATGATTGCTGTTCAAAATATTGTTGTTTCATTTGATGAGTACAGCAATATAATTAACATATAAACGAGGCAAAAAGAGATGTATGGTATAAGAAGTCTTCTGAAAAGAGTGGAGTAATAGCATGTATTATATGAAAAATTTGCTTTATATATTGTACAAATTGGCATACTTGAAGAACTTGGCAGTGGAAATGACTTTGATAACATTTTTTGACTGGTGACTTGATAACATTAACTCCCCTATGCCAAGATACATTTTTTTTTGTAGTACTGAAGGCACGACAAGCTTGGTTGTTTAGCAGTATGCATATGAATTTACTTTACATTTGGCACCCAGCCACAGAGTAGTAATGGAGCAGTAGTACCCTGCACCCAGTAACTTAAAATCTTGGATCCGCCTGATCCGCCTCTTTCTAACATGTCTTTACAGATATTGGAATGCAAGCTTCTAACGAAGTAATAAATTCCAAGAAAAACTTGATGCACTAGTTTACTGTACTCCCTCCGTTTCAACTTATGTGATCTTATTTACTTTTTAGTCCGTGTTAAAAAGAATGACATCTTTTCTTACTTGGAAACAATTTACCTTTATGCAATGATTTATAGAACACAAAATATACGTGCCTCATTTTACACCACAAGTTCAAAAGTCTTCTCCCTTTCCTTAAACTGCATGCCCAGTCAAATAGGTTCACATAAATTGAAATAGGAGTATATAGTAACATTTGCATAATATCGTTTACGAAAAAGGAAACAAGAAAGGGGCAAGGATTCTCTGAATAAACAAGGAAAACTTGCAACTTAACTAAATGCTTGTATCAGAATCACAATTAATAAACTAAATACTACTCTAATCCCTCTATACTTTATAATTGGAATTCCAGTAAAGCTTAATTGCAGCTTTTCTACATAATGTAATTGTTCCATGGGGCTTCAAACTGTAGTGAATCTTCAGAATATCAAGAAAGAATCACACTACATTAGTTCCAAAATATACGCGAACAAGCTTAAATTTATTTAATCTTCGGAATATCAATACAGTTTAGAAATGAACTAGAGCTTGAAACTGAACAGACTCCAACAACATTTACTGCAGAAACTTAGAAACTAAAGACTCCAACTTTATGCACTAATAACAATGGAGGATTTTTCGGGTCGGGTTATGGAGCTACCTGAGGTCGAAAGATCAGTGGAAGTGAGATCGAGATCTTGAGAATGAAGCTGGTGGATCTGGATCTGCTTGTTTTGGGTGTGTGTGCCCTCTTTGTTGTGGAATCTTAGAGGGAAAAATAAAATACTTCTTCAACTTGGGCAGATAATGTTTTTCTTTTTTCTTTTTCTTTCTCATTATTATATTTATTAACATCTGGAGGTTAGCGGGCCTGTATGGATCATTTGGAGAAATTTAGTGGATTGGACATCTCAGCCCAACACCCGGCCCTCGGTATTTGGATTGGAGCCAACACCAAGCCGACTATAATCAGTCTTATTTTATGGGCATCTACGCACTTTTTCCTTCCTATACCATGTATAAAAATTTATTATCAAAAATGTGCATAGTTTCATATTTACCTGTCATGTTCACAGTTATTCTACAAATATTATACCATTCATTAAATACCAATTATTAGGAGTTGATTCCTTCCTAATTAGGCGCGCTATAAATCTAGAACTAAATATTCTTCCTGATATTCCTATTTAGGCGCGCTACAATTATGGAAGTAAATATTCTTCCAAATATTTCATTAAATAAGGAATCATTGTAGCATTAAAATTCTTTATTTAGATATCTCTAATTAATTTTTTCTCTCTTTGAAAGATCAAATGATGTGAATAATCAGAAAGACAGAGTATGAGACCGGCTTTTAAAAATTGTTCCTATTTTCACCTAATATTTCTGCTTATAGTCTCACTTAAACTTATAGCTGAAAATATCGTTATATTTTTTTTCTATGAAAAATAATAAGTTGACAAATCTAATAGTTGATGTCACTAGGTAGTATTTTTCAAACTCGACAAAGAAGTTGATGTAGCTTTCTAACATATTTCCCTCAATCTATAATTGAGAATACTATAATGAATCTTTAAGATTGTGTCTAGTCGAAAATCCCAATTAAACTACAATCGAATGGGAATTGGGATACTAAAATTCAATATACCCAGTTGTAGATATTTTGTAGATGAATTGTAGATTATTTGTATTATGATTGTAGATACTTTGTTTTTTGTTTTCACAAATCAAAAACGACTAAAACTTCTACAAATCTTTTGCAAAAAACGAATTATGTCGAAAATTCCAATTAAACTACAATCCAATGAGAATTGGGATATTAAAATTCAATTTACCCATTTTGTAGATGAATTGAAGATTATTTGTATTCTGATTGTAGATACTTTGTTTTCTGTTTTCACAAATCAAAAATGACTAAAACTTTTACAAATCTTCTGCAAAAAACACAATTATGTCGAAAATCCCAATTATGCTACAAGTGAAATGGGAATTGGGATATTAAAATTCAATGTATCCAGTTTGTAGATATTTTGTAGATAAATTGTAGATTATTTGTATTCTAATTGTAGATACATTGTTTTCTGTTTTCACAAATCCAAAACGACTAAAACTTCTACAAATCTTCTGCAAAAAAACGCAATTATGTCGAAAATTCCAATTATGCTACAATTGAAATGGGAATTGGGATATTAAAATTCAATGTACCCGGTTTGTAGATATTTTGTAAATAAATTATAGATTATTTGTATTCTGATTGTAGATGCATTGTTTTCTGTTTTCACAAATCCAAAACAATTAAAACTTCTACAAAATTTTCTGCAAAAAATGCAATTATGTCGAAAATACCAATTAAGCTACAATTGAATGAGAATTAGGATATTAAAATTCAATGTACCCAGTTTGTAGATATTTTGTAGATAAATTGTAGATTATTTGTATTCAGATTGTAGATGCTTTGTTTTCTGTTTTCACAAATCAAAAACGACTAAAACTTCTATAAATCTTCTGCAAAAAACGCAATTATGTCGAAAATCCGTTTTAACTTTAAAACTCAACATCCACACCCCTAAAGAGATAAAAAGAAAAACAAATGCCAGGGAAATTTTTTCGAGTTAAACAAATGGCAAATAACTAAAAAGGAGTCGGTGGTCATAGATTAAATTTTTAAAAAAAAGTTGGAAACAAGGAGCTCTTCAGATCTTGACTAGCCAACTAAGTCAACTGGTTTGCATGAAACAGAAGTACATACTAAAAGTTACTCTGTAGTAAAAGACATTGTCATTTATGAAGTTTTTGTAACCCGAGGTTGCCAACAAAGACCCCTTTCCAGCGTAGGGCGTGGGATTTTGGCGTAAAAGACATATCATTTTTTCACTGAATGTAGACGAAAAAAATTTTAATTGAACTTTAATGGTGGGTTAACGATGTTTATGCGGTTTTAGAAGAGGGAAAAGAGTAAAAAGAACGTGTGTTTGAGTAAAACGTGGGTGAGGGTTTGGGAGAGAGAAATGTGGGAGGGGTGGGATATATGGTACCTTGAATTAAGGAGGGATATACGCTGCATTAATTGTACTCTTAAAATATACTGTAGTATAGAATTGGTAATTTGGTATACTAAATGTAATTATATCAAACGTTAAATAGTGAGGGTAATAAGGTTTCCTATATGGTATAGGAATGTAAAAATTCCATCGAATTTCAAGTAAAAATTGCACGGGGCACCCTATTTGGTCGCCCCCATTTAACATATACCCATTTTTTTAAAAAGTTTTAACTTGTACTCATTTTTTAAACAACTTCAGACCCCTTTCTCCTCCTCCTTCTCCTCCTTCGTTTTCTTCTTCTACTTCTTCTTCTTTCTTCTGCTGTTATGAAACTTCAGTTCATGGGATGATCGCCAAAAATATGTTTATCAGATTATTTAAAAATAAGTTATAAATAATTACATAAGTTAGTAGACAATAATTTGTAAATATTTTCACATACGTAAGTTAGTAGGCAATGATAATTCTATTCTTTTCACGTTTATTGTTTTCAAAATTTATGATTTAGATATTGTTGGCAACCTGATTATTTATCTAGTATGTTAGAAAGCTTTTTCAAAAATTTCAGCTTATATAATGCTAATGTTTTTACAAATGAACTAAATAATTTCTGCTGAAGTTTTTGAAAAAACTTTATGACAAAACTAATGAATCCAGGACAAAAAAACTTCAGGTTTAAGTGCTGAAGTTTTTACAAATGAACTAAATAACTTTAGTATCTTCTGCTGAAGTTTTTGAAAAAGCTTATCCAGGACAAAAAAACCTTAGCTTATTTAGTGCTGATGTGTTTATAAAAGAACTAAATAACTTCAGCATCTTCTACAGAAGTTTTTGAAAAAGTTTAATGACAAAACTAATGAATCTAGGACAAAAAAACTTCAGCTTATTTAGTGCAATTACAAACAAAAACTTCAGCAAATAGAGAACAAAACTTCAGCTACTATGCTTAAGTTCAGCAATTACAAACAAAAATTTCAGCAAATAGAGAACAAAACTTCAGCTACTATGCTTAAGTTCAGCAATTACAAACAAAAATTTCAGCAAATAGAGAACAAAACTTCAGCTACTATGCTTAAGTTCAGCAATTACAAACAAAAATTTCAGCAAATAGAGAACAAAACTTCAGCTACTATGCTTAAGTTCAGTAATTACAAACAAAAAATTCAGCACACTTGCTACTTCAGGTCCGTCTACTAGAATGCTGAAGTTTTGCGTGGTTGTCTTTGCTACTTCAGCCCCGTATGCTGAAGATACGCAAAAAAAATGGGTACATTTGTAATTTTTTTTGTAAAGCGGATACAAGTTAAAACGTGACTCAAAAAACGGGTATAGATGCAAATGCCCCGAATTTCAATCTTAATTATAGGGGTGTACGTGGATCGGGTTAGTTTGATTTTTATCAAAACCAAACCAAATCAGCTTTATCGGTTTGGATTGGTTCCATTTTGTTGGTTTTTTCGGATTTTTCATTAGATGAATATTATTTCAATCTTACTTTGTTGAGTTATAGATAAAGTTTTGATAAGTGAATATATGTATAGTAAAAACAGGAGAGAGAAAAATCACGAACGTATGATTTATTAAAATATTCTTATGGGAGATTTTTTTAAGTAATACATGATAGTTATTTTCTTAGTCGTCAAACAATGATAGTTACGTGTCCTCTTAGTTATGGAATCTTAGAGGGAAAAATAAAATACTTCTTCAACTTGGGCAGATAATGTTTTTTTTCTTTTTTCTTTCTCATTATTATTTGTTAACATCTGGAGGTTAGCGGGCCTCTATGGATCATTTGGAGAAATTTAGTGGATTGACATCTCGGTCCAACTCCCGACCCTCTGTATTTGGATTGGATCCAACACCAAGCTTCGNACACTGATATTGCCTAAGTTAGTAAGATTAATACAGGTACTAGTAGGTAGAGTCTTAATGAGGTAAACATAACCATCCCTATCTGCATCAAGCTTATTTATAATGAAGGGGGTGGCTTGTCTAACACAACATGAGATTTTGGATTGTTGAGAGCATACTTTGCCAGCTTGTGCACGACTTGATTTCCATCCTTAAAGTTATGCTGGATTGGTGGGTCCTTCAGCTGGTGCATTAACCACCTACCAGAAGAAACATTCATGTGGTAAGGTTGGTAATCCTTATGCAATGCTTTGATAACCTCTGTTGAGTCAGTTTCTATTACTAATGGAGTTAGTCCCTTATTCAAGGCTAAGTTGAGTCCCTCTTTGAGTGCTTCTAACTTTGAGTGGAGAGTTGAAGATGCTGGATACTGATATTGAAACCCCAATATCCAATACTCGTTGTTGTCTCGTATGGTTCCTCCAAGACCTGCCAAATGTTCCTTTTCACGAAAGGCACCATCAATGTTTAGTTTAAGAGAGCCATTGTGAGGTTTATGCCACATAATGTTGATTGCATGGGTGTGGACGCTCAATTTTTCATTTTGAGTGAGGAGTTTATATTCAATGGCCAACTTGATAGAATTTTCGAGGGAGAATTTGTGAGAAGTGTTGTCTACATTGTTTTTATTTTTGTTAATCCAGATGTTCCAAATAATAAAAAGGAATAGCTCAAGCCATGTGAGGAAAGGAGATAATATTGGAGTATTGAGGTTTCTTATATTAGTAAGCCAATTTCTTTGTTTTTTATTGGGTTGATTGTTAAGACCTTTTAACACCCAGATGTCGTGGACCATTTTACACCCAATAAAGATGTGATCATTGTTGATACCCAATTTTACCATAT